CCATGCCCATTCCGTCAACGCAGATCACTGGCGCCGCGTTTGTGGCAGCAGCATATTACGAGCAGAACTGGAGCATCTTCGACCACATGATCAACAAGATAAAAGCAGACCCCATAGCCACGTTCATATCGCATGGCGGCCGCGTATCAGCGAAAGAAGCGGTAAGCTGATATCACACATGCGTGCATGTGAATGTGCATGCTTGCATGCAAGCATGCACAACGATGTGTGCGCTGGCATGCTCGAGTGCGCACGTGTGTTGGTATTCAAGTATTCAGGCGCGCATGCCCCTCCTACAACTTCATCATCAAACGCATCCATGCTGTAGTTCTTGGCTTTTCGCTATGGCGTGATCAAACCATGGGAGTTGGACATTTACGGTAAGACACGACGGATGTACGTGGTTTTGCTGGGATAGAGTCTTTCTTGGCGCAGGGGGTAGTTGAGTATGTACGTACTGCGCAATGAACAGCGCCAGCTTCTGCGCTTTTTGTGTTGGTGCTGCTCTCATGCCCTCATGCCCTCATGCTCGTTTCTTCGTACTCATGAACACACACGCACGCCTGACATTCACGAACCATGTACCAACCTGAACCACATATGCTCTGCCTGCCGGGCCGACTGCTGCAGTGTTTCTTGCCATGTCCAGCCTGGTAATCCTCCTCAGGAAACGTCCTCGTTTCCATTCTTTCATACGGCGCAACTTCGAACACAGGCCCGCAAGCGGTAAACAAGGCGTGTGTGTGTATGTGTGCTTGCTCGTCTGTGCGTTCAGTGTGTTCGTATGTGTCTCTGTGTGTGTGCGCTGTGTGCACCTGTTGTGTTGATGCGTTTGTGTGTACATGCCTGTGTTTGTCATGTTGCAGCGTTGCTGACACATGTCTCACAATGGTGGACTGCGTTCTGACCTCTATTCAGGCGTGATACGTACGATGTTCACGTCCGCGCTCAGCCACTCGACAATGATGCACGCTTGTCAGTCATTCGTAATTCTCGTTCATGATACTGTGCTGCAATCCCGTTGCCATTCACAACCATAGAACCCATACGTCAACCACACAAAGCCGACACATTGACTCAGCCATGCCATTGAACGGCAACGCCACCGCCATTGCCATCAGTTCATTACTCACCACTTTCCCTCTCATCATCAACCATCACGTCTATCACCACCGACACCACCAGTGCTCAATACCTGGGCTTTGGTCCTCATCGTCCCCTCCGTCTATTTGAACGGTTCACCATCAGAGTTTTGGGCATTCTGTTCTGGTGCAGGTAGGTTATTTCAGTCGTCGTGCTGTGATTACGAAGTGTTGATGCGTGGTTACATGGAGTATGCTTGCCTGCTTGCAAGCAGTCGAGCAGTGTATGATGCTTTGGTTTGCGGTTGCACTGTTACAGTTGCCCTATTGTCAAGCTGCTGCTGTGCCTTCCCTTGGCAGCTTGGCACTACATCTTGCCCTGACGCATGCGTGTCCCTGTGTCCGTGGTGTGTTGCAATAGCCATGTTCTCCAGCCTCGGGTCTGTTGTTCAAATGCTTTTGACACGTCGTGCAATCCTTGGCGTTGGCGCTTCAGGTTTGTGTTACTGCAGCGTGCATGTGCTCGTAAGTGCATGCTTGCTTCCATCAGATCTGCATGTTTAGAGTGTGGGTGCACATGGTCATGTTTGTGTGTATGTATGTGTGTGTATGCGTGTGTATGTGTGCGTCTTTGTGTTTGATTTGCCCATCATCAGATCTCACCCATCCTGCCGTTCCTCATGCCACTGCTTGGTTTTGCCCCCTTTGTTGCGCTGTCTGCCTGTCTGCGCAGGCGTTATCATGGCTCTGCTCGCCATGAGCACATTCCTCAACGCCCAGTTCGACCGCGCCCTCATCCGATTCCCGTTCTTCGACTTGACAAGCGCCCAGGTGATGAGCACGTGTGAGCGTGAGTGTGTGGCGTGTGACAGTGGTTGCCAGGTCAATGACTCATTAGAGCATCACTCACTCACATCAACTTCGCCTGCTCTCCTTGCACTACCTGTAATCATCACTTGCTTTTGATGCATGCAGCTGCTCATAGCTGTGATGGCGCTTGATGTGGCTGTTGCTGTGATGTGTGTCTCGCGTGGCTGGCGCTTGCGAAGCCACGCCAAACGCCTTTTTGGCGCCCTTTTTGGCGGTTTCTACTTCTTCAAGGGACAGGTGTGTGTATATGTGCGTGCCGGTGTTGTTCTTGCCACGAGCTCCTTACTAACGTTTGCACACACACACACACACACACACACACACACACACACACACACACACACACACACACACACACACACACACACAGCACTTGCAAGAAGACCTGCGAAGCCACTTCCGCCTGACATCCATGCTGAAGAAGCCCTGAGCGTCGTGTTGCCTTCTTTCACATGGGATTCAACTGTTGTACGTTTACTCCAGAAACACCGCATATGCAAATAAAACACTCGGGCCACTCAAGTCTTTGGACGTTGTGATAGCGAGAATCGTGTGCATTGCACCACAACATGAGAAGTGGCTTCAAATGGACGTGAGCACGAGAAAGTGGAATGATGGCCCATTCACACATCAAACACACACATCAAACACACTACGGAGCAAATACTCTTGCAGATAGAAAAGAAGCAAACCAAATCACACCGCCCCGCCCCCCCCCCCAACACCCACTCTCACAAATCGCCCACCACCACCACCACCACCACCACCACCACCACCACCGCCTCTATCATCAGAGCAGGCCGTAGTATTCCTCGACGGGGACGGGCTCGAGCCCTTCCACCTTGCGCGTAATCTCCTTCACCACCGCCCGCAGGTCCTCCTCCCCAAACCGGACAACAAGGCACTCCATGTGCCCCTGCAGCTCCCGCTCGTGTCGGATCGTGCAGTCAACACAGCACAGCTGCGGCGGTCCACCCGCATCGCTGCTGCCGTCACTGCTACCATGCTCGCGGCTGTTGTGCCCGTCACCGCCGCTGCCATCATCCCCTCCCTCGCTGCTGCTGCTGCTCTTGTTGCTGATCTTGTTGCTGCTGCTGGCATGGTGGTGGCGGTGTTGCCGGCGACCACGGCCCTCGGCCTCGTCATCCTCATCGTAGCGCGTGCGCACCCCCTCCCTCTCAAACCGCAGCGACGTGCCGGGGGAAACCATGACGGCAGAGAGGAAGCAGATGCGACGACAGCTGCCGCACGCCATGCACATGTTCTCCAGCGCAGCGCCCCGCACGTCCTCTGCCGTGGACTTGCCGAGGCCGCGGGCCATTCGCATGCGCGTGGCCATCGTCTCAATTGTCTGCATCGCGTGCTTTTGCGTACGCATGGAAGAGGACGAGGACGACGGGTCCTGCACGTCAAACACCTCCGCATTCGTGCGAATCGCTTCCGACAGCGTCCGCAGCGGCAGCTGGTGGCCCGGGGGATGGGAATGGGAAGAGAGAAGGGAGAGGGAGAAGTGGGACGTGAGAGATTTGATGGAAGGCACGCATGCACGTGGTGTGCATGTGACAAACGCAGAATTGCGCAGTTGCAACACACACACGCACGCACACGCACAAAGTACACACAAGTACACACACACACATATACGCACACACACACACATATACGCACACACAACCACACACATATGTACACACACATATGTACACTACACCTGTGCAAGGCGGCTGCGTCTGATGCGGAGTTCCTTGGCGATAATCTGCTTGACGAGCGGAAATGCGTAGCGCAGCATGTCCCGGTCCGTCTGACACATGCAAACGTGATTGGAGGGAAAACAACGGTGGTGCAGAGATGGGGAGACGGACACGAGGAGAGCACACAAGCAAACGGCAACATCGAAGATGTGAGGTGAGCACAGACCGGCCCAATGGTATGCAATGTCAGGAGTTGCGACAGTAACCAAGTGCGACTACGACTACAATTATCGTCACGACCACAACAACGACCACAATTATCGTCACCTCTTGCAGGGCGACTTGGCACAGGAGCTTCTCCTGGTCGAGCGTCGTCGGCCGCTTCTCGAGCTGATACTGCTGCATCGCACGCATGCCTGCAGTGGTGATAATGTTTATGATGGTGTGGGGGGCAAGGAGCAGAGATGAGGGGGGATGGTGGGTGAGCGAAATGGCGTCAGCAGCGTCAGTGAATGTGATTTGTGGTCCACAACAAGGTAACGGCAGAGGCAGGTCGACACAGACACACAGAAATCCAAATACAGAAAATCCAACCCCCCCCCCCCCCCCAAACACACACACACACACACACACACACACACACACACACACACACACACACACACACACACACACAGACGCAGTACCGAAAGGGAGCCAGTCGGCGGCAGCAAAGTTGACGGCCTCGCAGCAGTTGAACCCCTGGCTGAAGCCGGCGTGGTAGGCCTGGGGAAACGTCACCACGTAGTCGCGCGGCTTCTGCACGCACGTCGAGATGAGCACGCCCTCAGCGGCAAGCACATCCGGCGGCACCTGAATGAAGAGTCGAGGAGGGAAAGGGATGAGGAACACGCTCGCAAGGAAAATCACAGAAGGAGAAGGTAACAAGGTTGAGAACTCCTCAGCGACACACACGCAGACAGATGGATAGAAAAAAAACAGACACACACACACACATCCACACACGCACGCACGCACGCACGCACGCACGCACGCACGCACGCACGCACGCACATATACACACACACACATACACACACACAGACATACACACCGCACCCAACCGCCCCGCCTCTCAGTTCCACTGCCTCCGCATCACGGCACCTGTGTGACGAGGTCGTGCATGAGGCTTGGGTTGTTCCTAAACTCGTTTGGCAGATGCTTTTGAAACGCGGCCTCCAGCTTGTGGGCGTGGCTGGAAGGCACGCCGTACCAGCGCTTGCCGTCGCCAAAGTGCATGTAATTGATGCTGTAGAGGAAGTTGTCCTCGACGTGCCAGCAAAAAGAGGAGAAGAGCATGCCGACATAGAGCCAGGGCATGCTGATGCCCGAGATGCCGTCAAGGTACTTGAGCATCGACTCCGGCACGCCAGGCAGCACGTTCAGGTTGAACCCAAACCGCGAGTACACCTCCTTTGGCGACGTCGGGAACGCGCTGGTGGTGGGTGGTGGATATGGTTGCGAGAGGGAGGAAGACGGGCATGGTAAGTGGATATGGTCGAGGGCAACGCGAGTGGGTGGGTGAGTGGAGGTGATAAGGTTGTGCGTGCGTGTGTGCGTGTGCCAAGCTTCCACCACACTGCCATCATGTTGTATTGCCATTATCTCATTCTCACTCACTCACACACACTCTCTCTGTCTCACTCACTCCCACCACCACCACCACCACCACCACGACCGCGTGGGTTGCGCGCGCCCTACCTGCCGTGCACGGTGGTGTCAATGTCGCTGCCGTAGAACGTGTTGAAGTGCTCCTCCCCCGTCACCGTTTCCCAGTACTTCTTCTCAATCTCGGCCTCGGGCGGCAGCGCAGTCGCAAACTCGGCGCCATACACCCGCCTGCAGCAGCAGTCGCATCATGGGTGGGTGAAAGATGCAAGTGGTGCAGTGCAAGCACAGCAGGTACACGCAAGGAGAGAACAAACCAAACAACCAACCAACCAACCAACCAACCAACCAACCAACCAAACAAACAAACAAACAAACAAACAAACAACCAACCAACCAACCAACCAGCCAACCAAACAAACAAACAAACAAGTGCACACAATCGCGACTATTCATCGCGTGCGCGTTACCTGCGCCAGGCCTGGTCCATGCGCTTGAACGACGCCAGCGAGTGCTGCATCCCGGACCCAAACCCAAATGGCTGTGCACACACAAAAAGAGTGAAATCGCATCACACCACTCACGTGAGCGCAATCTACGTACAAGCAGATGCTGTACCGCAAAGCAACAGGCGCAGGTCATCAGCACCAGCAATATCAACAACGACACCGCAACGATGACGTCTGTGATTTGATGTGTGTGTGTGTGTGTGTGTGTGTGTACCTCGTCGCAGTGGGATGGGTGGCTGCGGTTGAGGCGCACCTCCCGCTCCAGACGCGCGCGCTCGGCATCGCTACCCGAGGGGAGGATGGAAGACAGGGACAAGGGTAGGAGGATGTCATGACACGGTGAGGGCAACCCGCGGAATAGTCACTCAACAAAGCACACACACACACACACACACACACACACACACACACACACACACACACACACACACACACACACACAGGCATGACGCAAGTAGAGTCACATCAAACGTCCTCCTGACCTGAGCATGGAGTATGAGAGGAGGTACTTGGTGTAGAGGGTGAACATGGCGGTTGGGCGCGTGGAAAAGCGCGGAATGCCCAGACGTTCAGCAACATCGCCCCACTGCACACACACAAATGTGTGAATTCACAAGAACGAAGGTGAATATGAACGCGAACATCCAAATACACACATACACATACACCCCCCCCCCCCCCCACACACACACACACACATCCACACACACACTATCACCACCCCAACCCCACCAAAAGCAGCGGCAACGCACCGCGTGTGAGTCTGTGATGACCTGCGCGCCGCCAAACCGAAGCACAATGTGGTACAGGCGGTACAAGTCCACCTCCACCTGCGCCAGCATCGGCCATGGGTCAAGCGCGATGCCCTCCGTGTGCAAGTGCGCGCGCAGGGCGTCCAGGAAGAGGGAGCGTGCGTTACGGCGGCGGAACAGCTGGTGTGTGCGCTCTGAGCGGGTGGAGAAGTAGAAGTCACGCTCGTCGAGAACGCACGGCGGCTGCCACACATCCGGCGGCCGGATCACGCAGATACCAAACTTCTCCGCTGCAGGTGGTGGAAGGGGTGGTAATGGGGTTGGGGAAGTGAGGGTGGGGGAGGTGGCAAGAATGGGGTGATGGGTTGGTTTGGTCGCGAGTGGCGGTTGGAGTGACACAAGATGCTTTGCTCACCTTCATGTCGAATGGCTGCGATGTACTTGAGCGGGTTGCTGAACTCCTCCACCTGGCAAGAGCGGAGCGGTGTTGACGACAAGATGAGTTTGACGACGGGGTGAAACGGGAGCAACGAGACAGGAAGCAGGGAGGCAGAGAGGTAGGGAGACAGAGACAGAGACAGAGACACCCACGTAGACACACTCACCCACAGTCACACAAGTATAAAGACAATCAGGGACTCACCGACGGGTGGAAGACGGGGCAGTCGACAATGTTGAAGTAGGAAACCTTCGAGTGCGGATACCCGTGGACCGTCGCCGCATTTCTGCCACCACCAACTTCATCATCGTGGTTGTCACCATCGCCATCATCGTGGTTGTTGCGCGCATCGTCGGGTGCCGTTGATGAGGCGCCCGACCGCGCTGTGCCCACGCCATCATCATCACCACCGTCATCACCTCCACGAGCACCTCCTTCACCACCATCGAGTGCACTGCTGTCATCATGGGCGTTAAGGTGTGCTTCGTGTATGCTCTCCTCTGCCTCCTCCTTCACCTTCGTCTCCAGTTCTGTTGTCTCGCCTCCTGCCGTCTTCGTCACCAGGCGTGGCCGCTTCATCACCTTGTCACCGTCGCCATCACCACCACTGCTCACGTTGTTGTTGTTGCTGGTGTTGGTGCTGATCATGTCGCTGGCATCATTGCTGTTGCTGCTGCTGCTGTTGTTGTTGCTGTTGCTACCACCGGTGTTCTCAAACGCAGACAGCACGGCGTCCCCGCGCACCAGCGCCTCCAACTCCGCACGCGCAGCCATCTCTGTTGTTGTTGTTGTTGTTGTTGTTGTTGTTGTTGTTGTTGTTGTTGTTGTTGTTGTTGTTGTTGTTGTTGTTGTTGTTGCTGTTGCTGTTGCTGTTGTTGTTGTTGTTGTTGTTGTTGTTGTTGTTGTTGTTGTTGTTGTTGTTGTTGTTGTTGTTGTTGTTGTTGTTGTTGTCGCACACGGGTCAGCGGTAGAGCGCTGCGTTCGTGTTGATGAGGGATTCGGCGACGCAGATGGGGCGCGTTAAAGCCGTGATCACGTCCGCACTCGCAATGAAGAACCGCTGCACACACGAAACCCCAAGGCGTAAACACGAGGGTGGTGATGGTGGTGATGGTGGTGATGGTGGTGGTGGTGATGATCATGAGGGGGACGACGGCGTGACAGGCAGCCATCGGACACACGCACGTGCACACCCACCCACACCCACATCCCCACACAATTCACACACACGCACTCGCACACTCCAAAACTCACCCTCTGTGTAATGCTTCTGCGGAGCTGAATGGAGGGCTTGCGTGCACAGGTGGTGCTCACTGACAAACGACGACGGCAAAGCAAATGACAAGCAGGTGCCACAGGACCAGCAGCAGGATCAGCAGGAACGGAGTGTGAACGACAGGAACATGAACAAGCCAAACAAGCAAGCAAGCGTGCATGCACGCGAATGCACCGATGGTGTGACACACCTCGTTCCTCTGGGAGTTTCTGTGGCGAGTTGCTCCTCGCTGGCTTGGCTGCAAGGCCCAACAAAACACACAGTCAAGAGTGCATGCATGCATGCAGCAGAGTGAGGCGCGCACGAGCCATCGCAGGGGTCCAATACCACCTCCATCCACCCCCTACAAAGTCTCCAATCATATCAGCCCCATCACGTCCTCCCCTCTCCTCCAATACCAGCAGCAGTCACGGCGTACCGTCGCTGGAGTGACTGCGGCGGCGGCTGCTTCCGCGACTCGGCGTGCGCGAACCAACCTCTCCTCCTCGTCCTCCTCCTCCCCCTCCTCCTGTGGTTGCTGCTGCTGCTGGTGGTGGTGGTGGTGTCACTGGTGTTATCGGCGCTTTCGGTGTTGCTGCTGGATCTGCCGTGTCCGGTACAAGTGGCGATGCCGCTCCCGTTGTCTTCCGGCCGCGCCTCGCTGTCAAGCTCTTCTTACTCGCGCCTTTGCGTGCTCTTGTCGCTTGTGCACTCCGCTTGGCACTACTGCTGCTGCTGCTGCTACCGCTGCTGTTAGTACGCTTGCGCGTCTTGGTTCGCTGTGCTGGTGCTTGCGCTGTGGTCGCTGGTGCTGGCGGCGTCCGCTGCAATCGCGTTGCTCGCGCCGGTGCTCCTGTCTTCCTCACCGCTCTGCGGGCTGTTGGTGCCGCTGGTGGTGCCGCTGTTGGTGGCTGTGTTGGTACCACTGCCTCCTGCTTGGGTGAAAGTGCTGGCACCGATGCAACCGGCGAAGACTGCTGCTGTTGTTGTTGTTGTTGTTGTTGCTCTTCTTCCTTCTTCTGCTTTTTCTGCTTGTTCCGTGACTGATGGCGGGCTGTCTTTGCGCGCTTGCTGCGGGTTTCGCTCGTTTGCTTCCCTGCCGCCCGCTTCTTCTGTTGCTGCCGCTGTTCCAGCTGTACCGGGGCCTGCTTTGGGGATGGGTGTTGTTGGACTTGTTCTTTCTTCGGGCTGCCGGTTACACGAGAAGATGCTCCTTCTTCGACGGCCTCCTCCTCTTCAGCTGCTGCTGCTTCTTCCTCCCCTTCAACTCCTTCTTCAACTGCTTGTTTGTCCTCTTCTTCCTCGTCCTCGTCCTCCTGTTCGTCGTCGTCGTCGTCAATGACAATCACTTCCTCGTCGCCGAGCGCGCTGCTGCCGCTGCTGACAACGTACACAGACCCCTCCTCTTCTTCCTCGTCCCCGCTGTTGTCGTCACCTGGCGGTGCTGATGGCGAGGTTGACGATGACGATGATGATGAGGATGACAAGCCGTAGGACGCTTGCTTTGTGGCAAACGCGGCAACACCAACCTCACGCGGCGCCTCTGCTTCCGCTTGTTCCCTTTCTTCCTCTGCTTCGTCGTCGTCGTCGTCAGATGACCACCCGTGCGAGGCTCGCTTCACAGCAAATGCAGCAACACCAAACTCTCCCACTTCTTGAACTTCCTCTTCCTCTTCGTCGTTGTCTTCTTCTTCTTGACTTTCCTCTTCCTCCTCCTCCTCCTCCTCTTCCTCTTCCTCTTCCTCTTGCTGCTCTACTTCTTCCGCGCCTTCTTCTTCTTCCTCCTCGTCCTCGTCGTCGTCAGATGACCACCCGTTTGAGGCTTGCTTGACAGCAAATGCAGCAACACCAAACTCTCCTTTGCCTTTCTCCTCGTTGTCGGCTTGCCCCTTTGCGTCTTCGCTTTCTTCTCCTTCTTCCTCTTCCACTTCCTCCTGCTCTTCCTCCTCGTCAGATGTCCACCGGTGTGAGGGCTGCTTGACGGCGAATGCGGGTGTGTCAAGGACCTCCGATACGTTCAGTCCCGGGCCAGAACGGCTTCCTTGCTCGTCCTCTCCCTGATTTGCTTCCTCCTCCTCCTCGTCGTCGTCGTTGACCTGCACGTGCTCTTTGGCTTCACACAGCGACGCCTGTCGAAAGCCATCGTTGGCATGCAAGCATCCGCACAAACGTGAGCAGCATTGTACAGCCAACTTCATCTTTACGGACAGTGCATGCACATCTACACTAAACAAAGCAAAATCCACACACACACACACCCACGGACACACCAACAATACAGTTGCTCATGACAGAAGCATACCCGTAGTGCACGCTCAAGGAGGGCTTGTTCCCGATGGCTTGCAAAGAGGGTGTCGTCAAGCTAACAACGCATGACAAGTCAGACATGAGTGGGCCATTTGTGGCCGACACAGCAGGCGCACATGCCATGCACGCATGCGGCAAACACATCAACAGAACGAAACACGTGGTCGACAGAGCGCTAGATGCCCTGAGTATGAGCGCACGCGTGGACACACACACACACACAGACAAATACGCACATGAAACAGGCGCCACACGATGCGCGCGCACACACACACACACACTCACGCTGGATGGGCGTTGTCGACGGGAGCGGCCCGATGTGCGACGGCTAAGCTCACCAGCGAGTAGCTTGCGCTGCTCTTCGATATCAACCGCAAAGCCGAGCTCTGCCTCGAGTTCGGCGGCGATGGTCTGCGGGTCCTTCTCTGCTTCGTGCGCTGCCGGGCTTGGTGTTGGCGGTGTCTTTGTGCTGCCCGCGCTTTCGTGTTGCAACCGTCCCTTTTTCTGGCGTGCCGTTGTCCGCGACGATGAGCCTCTCGTTGTCGTTGCTCTTGCTCTTGCTGGTTGGGTGCGACGGCTTCTGGCACGTCTTGGCATCACACCATGTACTTCAACCAACCCCCAACACACGCGCGCGTGCACGTGTTACTTGGTGTGTGTCGAAGGAGGCGGAAACTTGGGCGATGGGGTGAGGGTGCTGTCGAAGGACGCTCTGTCGATTGGTGGCTTGTCGACCCCCCTCTTGCTTGGGCAGTGCTGTGTGTCGAGTGCGGCGACAACAGAATGAATGAATGAGCGGATGAAGGAAATGATCACAGCAGCCACGCCGTCGCAGAAACACAAACACGAAGGTGAGCGAACACGTACCTGGTCGCTGTTTGGTTTGTTGGCGTGTGTGTGCTTGTTGCATCGGGGGTTTGTGCGGCATGACAATCACCTGAAGTTATCCACAAATGCTCCACAACCGTGTCCGCGCAATTCAAAGCCGGCGGTTGCAATGCTCACTTCTCGTCATTTGAGCCGTGCCAACAACGACAACAATAACAGCTGTGCGGCTGGTGAGGAAGCGAACGCAGGCGAAGCCGAGGACGAGGAGTAGGCAGAAGGAAGGAGGAACCGACCAAGGGCAAGCAGCATTGGAACATGTCATCGCACCTCAAACCGACCATGGCCAAAGGTAGGCGCTTGTGTGTGTGTGTGTGTGTGTGTGTGTGTGTGTGTGTGTGTGTGTGTGTGTGTGTGTGTGTGTGTGTGTGTGTGTGTGTGTGTGTGTGTGTGTGTGTGTGTGTGTGTGCGCGCGCGCGCGTTTGTCTGTAGCCTTATCGGTCTCTGTCGCCTCTTACAAGCATGTGCGTGTACCCACCTCCTTCTCCCACACGTTTTGCCTTCGCTCTGCCACGTGTTGTCGTAACAGGCGCTGGTGCCGGAAGGCTGCAGGTTGCGCTGAAGCCTGGGCACAGCTTGATGGACTGGGTCAAGTTGAAGAACAAGAAAGGCCCCAGCCTCGCCGGCTCACGCAGGCAATCCCGTGAACCCATCACAAAGGAAGAGCTCGCACAACACAAGGTGTGCGCGCGCGTGTATGTGTGTGTGTGTGCGTATGTGTGTGTGTGTGTGTGTGTGTGCGTGCGTTTGATGTTGTTGAACGTGGATGTGCTCCACGGCCCCAACTGTTGACGTCATCCACGGCCGCTCCTTACTGACGCCCTTCTTGTACATTTCCTCCCCCTTCTCTCGCACACTCTCACTCTTCGTTTCCAAGGGTCCCGAGGGCGAGATTTGGATGGCGATCCGTGGCTACGTCTTCAATGTGACGCCATATCTGGACTTTCACCCCGGCGGCCGCGCGCAGCTCATGAAGGGAGCGGTATGGTAGTCGTTTGCGTGTGTGAATGCGTGCGTGTGGATGTGAATGAATGCATTTGCGTGTGTGTGCGTGAACACGTGCGTGTGTGTGTTGTGTGTGCGTGTGTGTGCGTGAACACGTGTGCGTGTGTGTGTGTGCGTGAACACGTGTGTGTGTTTGTGTGACACTGTGTTCCTTGCCCCGCTTGCTCTTATCCTCTCTCCCCTTTCACATCACACTCATCTCACGCCCCCTCCTCGTCATCTTGTCTCCTCTTCCCGTCGTCATCAGGGGAAAGACGCGACAAAGCTGTTTGACCACTATCACCCCTGGGTGAACGTGGCTGGCATGCTGGACAACTGCTGTGTTGGCAAACTCGCCCCGTAATACGATCACCAGCACGAATCTATGATCAAGAAACCATTGCGATCCTTACCATCATATCAATGCGACAACAACGCCTTCATCGCCTTGTCCACGACGATCATGATGTTCATACGCGTATGCATTTGAACGTGTTGTGGTATTGCAGCCATCCCCAATGCATGCTGACCAACGTGTGCATGCTTGTGCAACCCTTGTTAAACAACCACCTGACTCTGTCTGTCTGTCTGTCTTCTGTCTCTCTGTCTCTCTGTCTGTCTCTTTCTCTTCGTGTGCGTCTTTGTTGTCGGGCCTTGTCCTTTTGCTTGTTTGATGCCATGTTATCTGCACTCGTGTTCCAGAGGAACAACAGTTTATAATTGACAAACGAGCTCTCCTCTGAAGCTGTTGGCGAGTTAAGCCGCGACGCACACACACACACACACACACATGTTCACTTGCGTAAGCGTGCGGATCTGCGAACGCCGGCACTGGGCTGCTTGGTCTCTCCACCACCAGTGCCCCGCCTTGCCTTCTTCGTCGCCGCAGTACCATCATCATCATCGTCATCATCGTTGTCACTGCTACGGTTGGCTGCACCCTTACCCCTCCTTGTCGCTTTGCTTTGCTTGGCTGGCGCCTTCCTTCCCACCGTGGAAACCATCTCCTCTTTCTCCTCTTCTCCATCCCCATCTTCCTTGTCATTCGTGTCGTTCTTCTTCCCCTTCTTCTTCCCATTCCTTCCATCACCATTACCCTTAGCCTTCGTCTTCGTCGCCCCACCTGTTTTGTTCGCCTCTGCCTCTCTAAGTGCCTGCTGGTACTGGGCGTTTGTGCGCGTGAACACGAGCACGTGTTCGCTGCTCTGCGCCGCGTTGTAGCGGTACCCCTCCAAGTTGAACGCACGAATGTCGTCGAGTGACACGGCCTGGCACGTGCCGGCGTGGCGAACCATCAGCCCGCGCGCTCGCTTTGCATACGTGGAGATGATGCGGCCGTCGTGCTTGAACACGCAGTCCACCCACACCACACCCCCAGCAGCCGCACCAGCGCTGGTCAGGGCATCTCTGTTGACCACTTTGGAGTATTCGTTGGACGCAACGTTGACAACGATCTGGCGACGTGGGAGAGGGCAGGGACGAGACGAATGGGAGGAGGAGGGAAGAGAAGCACGTGAATGGGGGAATGACGGCTCCCAGGAGCATCATACAGACACACATATACACACACACACACACACACACACACACCAACACAAACACACACACAAAAACACGCACACACGCACACCGCGGCGTCATAACTGCGGCCGCGCGGGTTTCCCTTGCGACCAGTAAAGGCAAGGGACATAAACCTCTATTGCAAAAAAGTCGTTCCTGGGGGTTTGAGTAGCCGCCGCCAAGTACACAGTGACCTAAATTACACTCGCGTCTCATGAAGGAAGCGGGGGCCGGCTCGCGAATTCAGTATCTTCCATTGCCTGTCTGGCTAGTACAAATATATGGCGCACTGACCGCAAGTCATCGTCGTCCTCTCGCTGGGATTGCAGCTCGTATCAATTGAGTTACCTTTCAGAGTCACACTTGTCGTACCCTAATCCGCCTCTATTCTACATAGGCAGGCTTCATACCTGGGACACACGCACATACGCACACGCACACACGCACATACGCACACACACACACACACACACGCACACAAACACACACAGACACACACACACACACACCCTTCTCGCTTCACGTGTTCACTCCTCACACTGACCAGTCGTCCGTTCTCGTCTCGTGGCGCCGTCTTGAGCAGGTGTGCTGTCAGTGATTGCGTTTCCCAAAAGTCATACAGTGTCTTGGTTGACGTCACTTCCACGCCCAGCTTTGTGCCCATCTCCAACCTGCGCACCAAGCACACGCAGCGTGAGGCGACGACGAATCAGATACACGCATGCGAACGACAGCGTGGTGCTGGCAGTTGCACGCATTCGCAAACTCGCCAACAGCGTGCGTCACACACGCGCAGCCAGGATACCCATAACCAACTCCCTTCCCCCCCCCCCACACACACAGGCAATCCCTCTTCCGCCCGGCACACACAGACACACACACAGACACACACAGACACACACACACACACGCACACACACACACACACACAGAGACACACGCACACACACGCACGCACACACACACACACACACCTGTATGGTTGGATGACGTCGAGGGGTCGAAGCATGCCGTAGAGACCGGAGAGGATGCGCAAGCGTTCTTGGAGATAGTCAATGGCATTTGTATCGAGCGACCGAATGTCCAGGCCACGAAACGCTGGCCCGTCAAAGGCAAACGCGGCCTGCTTCAGCGTCACGTCGTCCGGCTTTGCTGTCGCATCCTGCGGCTTCCACGCCTGATATCTGACAGCACAGAACCAAACCACAAGGAACATGTGCATGTGCATGTGTGTGTGTTTGTGTGTTGGATGCAGCAGAAGAGAGCCATGGAGCGGGCTGCAGCGAAACACGATGGCAGTTCAAACAGCAAAAAGCGTGCACACACAGACACACATTCACACGCACACATGCACACACACAGACACACGCACACGTACACACACACACACAGACGCACGCACACATATAGAGACACATACCGGTCATAGTTGAGGGCTGCCAGGCTGCTGCTCAGCTTCATGAGAGCCTTGATGTCTGCCTGCGATTTTGTCTTGAGCACATCCATGAGCAGCCGCGTGGACGCCAGCATCGCTGGGGCCGTGAACGTGCCGAGCTGCTTCAACCGCTCCCCATCCTCCCCATACGTCAGCGTCTTCGTGGGCGACAACAGAAACAACATGGCGTGCGTGCCAGTGTTCGGTGGGCAGTGTTGAAGTGAGAGTGTTGTGCTGCTGCTGCACGCCAGTTCCACCCGTGCCGAAAATTCGTTTAAAGTTTACACCATTTCTCTACAACCATCATCGTTCCCTCAGCGGAAGGAGGTAAACTGCTGCTCGCTTGACCTGGGGGTTTGCGTGGTGTGTGGGTGTGGCATCCATCCTCACACCTCCACGCATCCATCCTCATCTTCACACATCCATCGACCTCGCTCTTGCGTTTGGAGGATCGTCGTACTCATAGCTCAGGCGTTGCACCTTTTGTTCTGATGCTTTGCCAGCTGCCCCTTCCATCCCACACAAATACGAACGCTGTCGCGGTGTTGTGACATAACGGTGCCCCCAGACACTGCACGAGACCACGAACAACGACGCACATCACAATTACGCACAAACGCGAAAGGGCCACAACAACCACCTCCCCTCCAACAGCACTGCCACGGAGTGGTGGTGCCGGAGTAACATGGCCCGCAACAGGCGAGTGGCATTGCGACGCGTGCCGCGCTCCCTTGCTGTCGTGGCCTGTGCTTTCGTGGCACTGCTATCGTGCACGCTACTGTGGCACGCAAGCACAACAGCGGCAGTAGCACAGGACCTGGCGCCGTGCGACGTTGCACGCCACGATGTCGTCTTTGTGCTTGATGGCCATGTTGCCCTCTTGTCGCAGCACGACGAAGCGCTACAGGCCGCTGCCACCATCACCCGCGCCTTTGATATCGGACCCCAGCGATCAAGGTACGTTCTGCGCGCAGCCGCCTTCTCTTGTGTGTGCACGTGCTGGAAATGCGCTCGACGCCTGAAACGATACGAGTTTCCTGCCCGTGCATGCTCCTGTCGTCTGTGCTCTCACGTGTGCCTTCACGCTTTCTTTCAGCCAACGAACACACACACACACAACACTCACTCTCTCACACGTGAACACACACTCACTCACTCACTCACTCACTCACTCACTCACTCTCTCACACGTGAACACACACTCACTCACTCACTCACTCACTCACTCACTCACTCACTCACTCACTCACTCACTCTCTCATTCACTCACTCACACACACACACACACACACGCACATACACACACACACTCGCACTCACTCTCTCACTCACACACACACACACAAGGGTGGCGTTTGTTTATGCAACTGGAAGCTCTGCCCGACTTATGTTCGACTTTGCGCAGCACACCACCACCGACGATGTGACTGCGGCCATCCTGAACACACCGTTTGTTGGCACGCCGACGTCAAAGCTGCACTATGCGCTGGCGCTGTTGCTGAACGGGCTCCTCCCCGCACGCGAGCGCACCAGCCCCGAGTACACGCCCGTGGTCGTGCTGCTCGTATCGTCAAACTCGCCCGTAACCGCACAGACCGTCAGCCTGATGCAGCAGCTGCAGTCAAGTATGGGCGCTGTTGTTGCCGCCGTTGCCCTGGGCAGCGCCACGCCAACCATCGCCACCAACGCCCTCACCAACGGCGTGTCCGCGCCAACGCACGTGTTCCTCTCCCTGCAAGCCACCCTGAATTCAGGGAGCACGCGTGCCTTTGCGCACGGCGTTGCGTGTGACCTGCGTCTCCTGTCGTTCAGCGTGGACTTGGATGCGGGAGCGTGCACACTCGAGTTCAACCGCCCTCTCCCGCCCGTGGCACTGCAGCCAACGCAGCTTGTCTTGCTTGCAGGCACGACAGAGAACAGTGGAAGCGGCGACAGCAGTGACACTGGCAGCAGCAGCAGCAGCACTGCCGCTGGTGCTGTCACATACCCGCTGCGCGTGCCATCTTCGTCGCTTGGACTTGCCTCCACCATCGCCATGGCCATCCCACCACAAGACGTGGCTGCGTTGTTGACGCAGCGGCACCTGCTGCAATCAACCGCAACCACCGCCATTGCAGCGGACAACACCACGCTCGCGTCCCCCTCCCTCTTCACCTTCCGGGCGATTCACCGCACAACGCCGCTCCCCGCCACCATCGTCACGGGTCCCCTGCCCCCATATGGCATGCGCGATCTTGTTCCTGTCGGCATTGAGGCACGGCGCCTCGTGTTCACGTGGACGCAAGTGACCGCGCCCAATGCTGACACCGTTGATTACGCCGTGTGGTGTGCTGGCGACCTCAACCCCGCTACATATCCATCATGTAAGCCAGGGAGGGGGCACGTGGGGGAGTTGTGTGTGTGTGTGTGTGTGTGTGTGTGTGTGTGTGTGTTTGTGTCGTGCGTGCCTGTTCACTTGTTCGCCCTCGTGCAGACACTGTATCTTCCACTTGCCTATGAACTTGCAACTCACCTTCTGTACTCACGCCTTTTCATCATCACATACACACACGCACACACACACACACACATACAAACACACACATACACACACACGTACGCACACACACACACACACACACACACACACACACGCACACACACACACACACGCACGCAAACACACACACGCATCTACGACAGCGCTGCCGATGGCACGGCTGGATGTGTTGGACCCGCCACCTCTGGCCATCCCGGCAGTGCCGTCGCCGTCGTCACCGCGCAACGGAGCGACACGCATTGCCTTCAACGCCATTGATGCGTCACGCCTGACGCCAGCACCGCCGGACAGCCCCTCCAACGGGTTCATCACGTTCAACGGGCAGACGAGCTACACGTCATCGCCACTGCCATCCATCAGCACCACGTTCACGGTCGCCACGACGCTGCTGCAGGCGTCAACGAGCAACAGCTTCATCTTCCTCAAGCGCAACGCAGACGCAGACATCCTCTACGCGTACGTGTGTGTGTGTGTGTGTGTGTGTGTGTGTGTGTGTGTGTGTGTGTGTGTGTGTGTGTGTGTGTGTGTGTGTGTGTGTGTGGCTCGTTCTTGCTTGTGCTGGCGTGCTAATTTCTGCACTGTCCACCAAACCTAACACACCACGCCCCTTCCTCTCTGACACCTTCTCCCCACACCTTGACCCCTCCCCACCACCACAGCCTGGCGTCCCTCTCGTCTGCAAACGCGCTCGTGTTTTACTACCGCCCGTGTGGAACATCGGACCTGCTGTCCGCCACTTTCCCGTTTCAGCTCGCCGACCAGCGCGTGCACCGCGTGCTCCTGTCCATTGACAGCGGCGCTGTTTCGCTCTCTGTCGATGGTTCACAGCGCGTCACCCGCGCCATGCCCTCAGCATGCATCACAGACTGCCTTCCCCAGACGCAGGCGTGCTCGTTTGTGATTGGCGGCCAGCCAACCCCTGCTGGCCTCGCACTGCCGTTTGTGGGCACCATCACAGAGCTGTACTTGTTCCCTCTCGCCGCTCTCACGTCCTACCCAGACGCAGCCCAACTCACAATCACGACATCAACCACATCAACCACAACAACCCCCACAGCCACCACAGCCACCACAGCTACCACCGCTGATTCATCATCATCGTCGTCGTCACCGTCCGTGCACCCGTCTGGCCTGGGCAACGTGACGTTTATGCGTGTGCACACCACCGCCGATGCCAGCGGAACGGTCGTCCTCAACGACCTCACCCCTTACGCAACCTACCACTGCTTCCTGCGCGTTTCAAACGAGTTTGGGTCGCGAACAGGCACCGTCCTCTCCATTCGCACACCAGCGGCGCCGCCGCGTTTCGTTTCGCCACCGACTGTCAGCGCCATCACCGCAACGGGGGCGGTGCTGACGTGGCAGGAGCCTGGCGAGCTCAACGCAGCCTCTGTTGTGTACGACATCATCGTTGTCCCTGCGAACAACGCGTCGCACACGGTTGCAGACGTGCGTGGCCTGGATCAGCAGCAGCGCCAGCTTGCTCTGGCCACGCTGCGCCCATACACCCAATACCACGTGCAATTGGCCGTGCGAAACAGCGCGGGCACAACACAAGCACGGCTGGTCTCCTTCACCACGCTGCCAGCACCACCAGCAGGCGTGGTGCAGCCCACAACCATTGCCACCACGGCAACCACAGTGACACTGGCCATTGCGCCTGCTCGCTCGCTCAACGGCCCTGCAGCCACATATCGCATCTACGCCCGTCTCCTCTCGTCCAGCGCAACCACAACTGGTGAAGATAGCGGCGATGGTGACAGCACCACTGCCTCTCCCACCACCACGACAGCATCGGTAGCAACACCAGCATCCACAACAGCACCACCAACATCAAGAGCAACAGCAACGGCGGTGTTGGTGGCGGAGACGAATGCTGCGCCGTCCTCACTCACCATCGGGCAGCTTCTACCTGCGAGCGTGTATGTGTTTGGCGTGGCGGTGGACAACGGAGCGTTCAATTCGTCCGTCGTGTTTGCAGATGAGACGACAGTAACAGCGGCCGCGCTGCCGACAGAACAGACACCGCCTCTCCTGCAGCCACAGGCACGTGCCATCACCATTACCAACACCCCGCTCCCGCTCCGCCCAAATGGCGAAATTGTCGCATTTCGCGTGTGGTTGGACGGGATCATCTACACGGACGTCAGCAGCGGCGTGCTTGCAGGCACGACAATCACGGGGCTGGCACCCGCCACCATGTACAACGTGTCTGTTGCCGCATGCACCACGGCTGGGTGCGCGTCCCCTCCTGCCGGCGCGATTGCCACAACTCTGCCGGCGGCCCCAGAGGGCGTGTTGCCGCCAACGCTCGTGCTTGCAAGCAACACATCGCTCACGTTTCGCGTCAAACCGCCCCTCGTTCCCAACGGACCTGTGCTCGCATACGAGCTCGTGCTTGAGCAGATGCACGGCTGCGTGCAGGCAGACCCCGTTGGCTGCTCGTTCATCACCTGTACCAGCGACGAGGAGGTGTGTGGGAATGCATGCTACAACCCCGCCACGCACGTGTGCTGCGGCAACACCGCACTTCACCCACGCGCGGACAACCACACGTGCTGCGGCAGTGCATACGTGAGCACGGAGCAGGACCCAGCCCTGCCTCCCTTCGAGTGCTGCGGTGACAAGTGGTCGCCCCGGCGTGGGGGATACGTGTGCTGTGGCGGAGAGCACGTGTTTGCGAGCGAGGGCGCGCTATGCTGCGACGGCGTGCTGACGGAGGGCGACGCGTGCTGTGGTGCTCAGGGGTACTACGACACGGATGCGCACATGTGCTGTGACGGTGTGTTGTACGATGCCGCTGCCAATCGCAAGTGCTGCGGTGCAACCGTCATCCCCTCATCGCAGACGTGCTGTGCCGGCGTTGGGCGTCAGTTGAACGCAGACAACAGCGAGGCGTGTTGCGGTGTGGACGTGTTCACCACCACCACCACCACCACCACAAACAGCAGCAGCAGTGGTGGTGGTGGTGGTGTTGGTCTGTGCTGCCCCGTGTCGCCTGCGCTTGCTGCTGGCGCCGATGGCGATGTGGCTGCAAACCCGTTTGAATTTGGCGGCAGTTCTTCTGACGGCCACCTGCTGTACAACACGACCGCACTCAACACCGTGCTGTCAGCATCATCAGTTGCGAATGCGGGCTGCTGCGCGGGCCTGCCCATTGACACATCCGCATACACGTGCGCGTCAACGCTCCCCGACACCACCACCACCGCCGCCGCCACGACAGCACCCCAGCTGACTTGCGCCCTGCCCGTGGTCACATGCGACGCAAGCGCAACACCACTGACGCCAACAGCAACAACATCAGCTTGCGGCACGTGTGGGTTTGATCTGAGCAGCACCACGTGCAGCATTTACGACCCCACAGCCCGTTCATCATCATCACCATCGTCAATGATCAGTGGTGTGAGCGCGGCGCTGGCATCAGAGGGGCGGCAGCACGTCAACTCTGCATGCCCACCATACACCCGCTCCCGCGTACACCGCACAACCCACACCATCAGTGATGGCGGTGGTGAGATGCAAGCGGTTGACGTGACCGTGGCTGGCCTACTGCCGGCTGCGCGCTTCAGTGCCGTGCTTCGAGTTATCGGCGCTGGTGGCGAGGCGTCATCACCACCACTGCAATCGTCATCATGGTTGGCAACACGGCCGTCATCGCCCGACGGCGTGCTGCCGCCAGTGCTGGTGGACACCACGAGCACAAGTGTGCAAGTGCATGTGCACCGTGCCCTTCGCGAGCATGCGCCCAACATCACGTACACCCTTCTCATCGCCCCTCCCTCCTCCTCGTCAGCATCGTCGTCAGTCGATGAGGTGGTGCGCGCTCCCGTGTCGTTTCCAGATGTGTCAGCTGCTTTCACAGCCAGCAGCAACGCGGCACACGTGCTGTGGGCGCCATCCCTGCCCTCGCTCGTGTCAATCACGGATCTCGTGCCGTTCACGCAGTACAACGTGTGGGTTGAGGCGTGTGCGAACCTGCCAGCGCAGGACCCACAGTCAACAACAGGCGCCACAACGCCTCCAAGCAGTCCCACAACAGCAGCACCAGCGCCAGGCACCACAACCCAAAACGCAACCAACACACCGACAACAGCCTCATCGACCCCCACACCCACACCTTCAACACCCTCGACAACAGCATCATCACCAACCACCACAACCACCATGCTGTGTTCCGCCTCGCCTCGCATCATGACAACCACGCGGCAAGCGCCACCGCCCAGTGCTGGCGACGTGGACGTGACGCCCACCCAAACGTCGCTGCAACTGTCATGGGGGGTCACGCCGGAGCAGGAGCGAAATGGGCCTATCCTTTTCTACAGCGTTTCGGTCGAGGGCCGCGCACGTGTTGATGTTGCTGCGGCGCGGACAACCATGACCACCACCATCGCCAACTTGCAGCCGTACGAGCTGGTCGTCATCACTTTCGCAGCATGCACGCGCGCAGGGTGCACGTCACGCGCGATTGCTGCGCGCACGCTGGCCGCCCCTGCCACGGCGCTGGCGCCGCTTGGCGTGGATGGCATTGGCACGACCTATGTTGCCATGTCGTGGTCCCCACCGACGCGTCCCAACGGGCAAGTGGCCGGGTATGTCGTGGAGCGGGATGGAGCCGTGATTGCGGAGCCAGCAGTGCCGTCGTTCAACGACACCACGGCGCTGCCGTACACGCTGTACACGTACGCGTACAAGGTTGTGAACGAGGCTGGCCCATCGGCGCCCGTGTCTTTGCCGTTTCCTGTGCGCACGCTCCCTGCCGCCCCGCAGTTTCCGCCCGTCGCCATCCTCACCGTTGTCACCGACAGCAGCATCGGCCTGGCGTGGGACGAGCCTGGTCGCCGCAACGATGCAGCCGTCTCCTACCGCCTCTACCGCAGCGTGGGCACCGCCCCCAACAGCACCGCCCACCTGGGCACGCTCGTCAACGAAGGGTCACAGCTGTCCTTCGTGGACGAGGGGTTGCTTCCGTTTTCGCAGTACTTCTACACAGTTGTGGTTGTCAACTCGGTTGGCACAGCCGTAGCCATGCATGAAGACCCGTCCGGCAGTGCCCAGGGCCTCATCCCCCAAGCAACACGTGCCGTGACGTCGCAGGCGTTGCCTGCAGGCACATCTGCGCCGCAGCTCACCGTCCTCTCCAGTGGATCCATCGAAGCGTCCGTGTCCATCCCGGGCATTCCAAACGGGCAGATTACGCAATACGCGATCCAGCGCCGTCGCGTTGTCGGCGATGACGCAACACCACTCCAGCCCACCACCATCTGGACCAGCCCCGCGCCCGGCAGCGTGGTTGACGATGAGGGCCTGCAGCCATACACGCTGTACGAGTACCGCGCGCTCGTGACAAATGGCGCGGGCATGACGGCGTCCGTGTGGTCCCAGGCACGCACGTGCTCCGCAGCGCCAGCAGCGCCAGGGGACGTGGCACTGGCCGGCACCGCTGCCGCTGCAACATCGGCAGTGGTGTGGTGGACCGTTCCTCCGGCCGTCAACGGGCCAGCGGGGGCCGTCACGTACAACGTCACCGTGCACGCGTTGAGCTCCACTGGCAGCAGCAGTGGCGGCAGCGATGTTGACGCACAGGAGGGGGAAGTAGTGGTGTCGCAATCTGGTTCGAATACGCGCCGTTTGAACCTGACGTTGCTTGCAAGCAACACATATCACCGTGTGACTGCGCGAGCGTGTGTTCCCAGCACGTGTGCTGGTGAGAACGGCAGCGGTGATAGCGAGGGTTCGCCTCTTCAGCCCGCTGTTCTGTGTGGACCATCGCGGACCTTTGAATTCCGGACAGCACCGGATGCGCCGTCCGGCCTGCTGCCGCTCGCCGCCGTCGTTGTCAGCACGACGGTCGTGCGCGTGTCCTGGAGTCCTCCAACACAGCCCAACGCCGATGCCGTGCGCTACGTGCTTGCACGCAACGGCAGCGTATTGCTTGATCTGGACGACGCGTCGCAGCTTGACTATGTGGACCGCGCCATCACCCCCGGCGTTACGTACGTGTACTCGCTGACGTTCATCACGGCTGGCGGCTCCGCGACCGTGCTGTCGCCAGCTGTGCGCACGCGGCCGGGTGCACCTGAGGGCGTGGCGTTGCCTTCAGTCGAGCTGGCCCTGAGGGATGCGGATGTTCGCGCGCGCGTGTGCTGGTCAACGCCGCTGGACACGAAAGGTGCCATTGCGGCGTACCATCTGCACGTCAACGGCGATGTTGTGAATGCGCAGACGCAGCTGTGCGTGGACGTTCCGCTTTTGTATGACACGGCGTTTTCGGCGTTTGTGGAGGCGTGCAACAGCGTTGGGTGCGCGTCCGGCCCTGTACTCCGCTTCTCCACCCCCTGTGGCGCCCCTACGGCTGTCGTGGCGCGTGTTGCTTCGCGCACTGCAACCTCCCTGAACCTTGCATGGCCCGTGCCAGAGTACACGCGGTGCAGCGCTGTCCTTTATGACGTCAGCGTCACGGGGCCGGGCCTGCTGGAAGGGGCGTCCTCTTCATCGGAGATTGGCACGCTGGAGGTGGACGGCCTGTCCACTCGCACGCTGTCCGTAACAGATTTGCAACCCGCAAGCGCCTACACGGTTGTTGTTGCTGCTCGCACACGCGGTGGCCGCACGTCTGGTGCCGCCTTCCTTGCCGAAACATTGTCATCGCCACCATCGGGCGTTGGCATTCCCGCTGCTACCGTCCTCAGCAACACGAGCGTGCTGCTCGCCTGGGACCTTCCTCTCAAGCTCAACTCGCCGCCCAGTTCGCTGTACTTTGAAGTGTATCGTGACGGTGCCCTTACACGCACGCTGCCAGGGACTGTGTTTGCGTACACATCGCGCTCGCTCACGCCCGCCACCTCGTACAAGTTCAGTGTTGCGGCGTGCTCCTCCGCTGGTTGCACGCGCAGCCCGCTGGTGACGGCGACGACGCTTGAGGGCGTGCCTGCAGGCATTTCTGCGCCCGTGATTGACGCTGTCCGTGCGCGTGGGTTTGCGCTCGCGTGGTCCGCCCCTTCGAATGCAAACGGTGCCCTGACATCCCTTTGGCTTGAAGTGGACGTGTGCACGACGATAAACACAGACTGCTTTGGCTCCACCACCAGCGGCAGCGGCAGCGCCAGCAGCGCCAGGAGACGCCGGAGCAGGGGTGACGATGATAGCTTTGGTAATGCTGGTGGTGCTGGTGATAGTGATGGAGATGGTGACGTGAGGGTCGTGCGGCGGGCGGTGGTGTCTGGTGCGCCTGCTGGTGCTGTGCGCTATGCGTTTCCGCTTCCGCTCTCCGCCACATATGCGCAGGTGAACAACAGCGTCGTTGTGCCGTTTACACATCACCGCGCCCGCGTCGTGTACGCAACCGCCGCCGGGCCGACAGCCAGGTGGGGTCTGCTGACGTGTACGTGTGTGTTTGTGTGTGGGCGGGTGCGTACATGTATGTGTGGGTGGGTGCGTACATGTATGTGTGTGTTGTTGCGTACGTGTATGTGTGTGTTGTTGTTGTTGCCTCCTGCCTGGCGGAACGTAGAATCCTCATTCCATGCGCTCATCAACCTTGACACACACACACACACACACACACACACACACACACATACACACATACACACATCAATACACATTTGCTTCACACCTGTTCATGTGTCCAGTCCCTGGGCGTCGTCGTACACGGTCATGTGTCAGCCGAGTGATGGCCCAATGTGCACAGACGTCAAGACTGTCCCCCTCATCACACCCACAGCAGCACCCGCAGTCACAACCACCCCTCTCGTGTGCCAGGTATCGTGAATGGTGTGGTGTTTGCTTGTATCGAGGGGATTGGAGAGAGATTGTGCACGTGTGTGTTTGTGCATGTGTGTGCGTGTATTTCCACGCACCTGTGTATGTCTCTATCTCAGACACCTGTGTCCTCATTGCTCAAAACTCACAATCCAAGCACACACACACACGCGCGCTGCCAACACCACCACGCTACCAACACCACGACCGCAGATGACGGGCCCTCAGACGCTGAGCTGCGACTGGACGGGCGTGTTCTCCCTCTTCTCTCCGCTCAATTTCTACCGGTTTTCCCTATCAGAGCAACTTGAACAACCAATCATCACCATGGTCCGAAATCATGCGTTTGTGTGCATGTGACGTGTTTGTGTGTATGTGTGATATCTTGTGCGCATGTGATGTATGTGTGTGTGTCTGCGTCGCTGTGCATTTGCGTGTGGGTGTGCGTGTGGGTGTGCGTTTTGCATGATGGCAATCAACAAGTTTGCAGCTGCCGCACTCCATGCAACTTTCAACGCCCCTTTGTTAACATCGCTCCTCACCCTCCAAATGCCCAACACCACTGGCGCACAGGACACGGGCACGGCTGTCGGCGTGCTGCCGACTGGTCGCCCCATCACCGCCACTGTTGATGCCGTCACGCCACGAGGAACCGTCACAGCTGCAGCCACACTCCGCCTCCCGTCAACAAGTGCGCTTGTGTTTTGTGATGACGGCTGTGGTGTGCTGTGGCGTGTCGTAGTATTGTGGTATTGTATTATATTGTGTTGTTGTGGTGTGCTTTGTGTTAGCGTGCTTCGTTGTGAGATAACCATTGTGGGTGTGGGTGGTGGTACGCTTGCTAGCATTGTATTGCCGCTTCCATGCCGCCCTTTACACGTTCCCTCACATCCTTAACCCACTTCAACTTGCGACACTACAACCACCAGCCACCACGACCACGACAACAACGACAACCGCCAACGGAACGGTTGTGGCGACACCGCCCACGGCCACCTCTGCATCACGGGATGCCATTGGTGCTGGCGGTATTGTCGGCGTCTGTATTGCCGCGCTCTTCATCTTCGTCGTCCTCATCTGTGAGTGACTGCTGTCGTGCTGGCGTGCGTTTGTTTGTTTGTTTGTTTGTTTGTTTGTGTGTGTGTTTGTTTGTTTGTGTGTTTGTTTGTGTGTTTGTTTGTTTGTTTGTTTGTGTGTTTGTTTGTTTGTGTGTTTGTTTGTTTGTGTGTTTGTTTGTGTGTTTGTTTGTGTGTTCATTTATTGTGTGTGTGCGCGCGCTTGCGCACTTGCGTGTGGTTATTGTGGCGGTGTTTGGTTGACACGCAGCCTCGATGAGCAAACTCAAAGTTGTCCTGTGGTCGCCATCCACTACGCTCCAACCCTGTATATGTGCGTGTATGTGTGTGTGTATGTGTGTGTGTGCAGTGGCGCTTGTGTCTCGCCGGCGCAATGCGATGGGGGCAGTGCAGGTCATATCTGTGAAGACCACAGACCCGCTTGCGGAGACACTGGACATGGATCACATGCACGCGCACAACCGCAACCACTTTTGGGTCAAGGACATTGAAGACGTGGTACGTTCCGGTGCTGAGGCTTGCACGCTGTGTATGCAACTGTGATCATGTGTGCACTTGCTTGTGTGAATGTGCGTTTTCTTTCATGCATTCGCTGCTGTTGCACGTCTTACCACGCCATGCTCTGATCACTACCACCACTACCACCACCTCACCTCCTTTCCCTTCCTCGCCTCCCTTCACCGCCATCAGGAGATGGCCCCTGCCGTGTTGATGCGGAAGAGCGGTCCGTCCAGCCACCACCGCCCCCACTCCAGCGTCACCGCCAACCGCCACAGCAGCGCCAGCAACGCCAGCAGCAGCCGCAGCAGCGTGTATGTGCAGCGAACGGTGCGTGTGGATGGCGTGCCTGCCTCATCGTTCATGGTGCCACAGCCGCTCCTGGGACAGGTGCCGTCCGATCAGCAGCACGCCCACCATGGCAGCAGAGGCAGCGGCAGCGGTCATGGTGGTGGTGATGATGAGCGGGACTTGTGGCTGCTGGCGGGTGTTGTTGACAGCGCTCTTCAGCCTGACGAGACACAAACCGATGGTGATGGTGATGGCGATGGCGATGGTGATGGTGGTGTTGGCCGTGTTGGTGCGAGCGCCAACGTGACAGGGATGTCTTCATCGCACTTTGGAGACCTGCTGAGCACCACGGGCCCCAGCATGCGGTGGGGCCACCCCTACCCGGCGACACCGCGCGGCGCCTCGTCTCGCATGCACAACAGCACCAGCATGTACCAGCCGAGCCCAGCACCGTCGTATTCGCAGCCAGGGCTCACCGTATCGGCGCTCTTCACACCGCGTCACGTGGAGCCCCACATCCCGCTCGTGCCGCCAACGCCACTGCCAGATGCGCCAGCGACCGTGTACACGCCGGGGCAGGCATCGCCACCGCCCACAGCGCACCCTGGTGCCACCCAACACAGCCCAACACACGCACGCGCGCATGATGGGTCGTTTGTTGCTGCGGATGACACGCGTGACAAGCGCCAGCGCACACCAGCGGGTGCGGGCGAGGAGGTGTCGGGTGCAAGTAGCGGACGCGGTGGTGATGGGAAGCGACGGTGGTCGATTGTTGGGCGGTTGAGACGCTCTCGACGGGGATCAACAGCAGATGCCATGCCCGCCAGTGGCGATGAAGATCACCATGATGTTGATGGTGATGGTGATGGTGATGGTGATGGTGATGATGAAGGTGATGGTGATGGTGGTGAATTGGATAGGCCGCGGCTTGCGAGTCTGCGTGCTCGCGATTACACGCTGCGCTCCATGGCACAACAGCCACTCAACATCAGCGATGTGCCACACGTTGGTGATGACGATGACGATGATGATGATGATGACGTTGGCGGTGACGACGATGATGGTGGTGTTGATCACCATCGCCACGAGCACCCGCACCACCGCCGGCGGAAAAAGCGCAGCAGTCTGCGTGTGCGTTTGTCGATGTTCGAGCCACGATCAGGCAAGAAGAAGGACAACAAGCAGGAAGGTGGCAGTGGTGGCAGCGATGGCGGTTATGGTGATGGGCCCAGGGAGGAAGATGAGCAGGGCATTGAGAAGGAGGAGGAGGTGGTGGTGGATTATGGGCAGCCACTGTTTGTGATGCCAACAGCCACGTCATCAACAACAGCAACATCGTCGACGACAGGACACGACGCATCAGCACGCAGCAGTAGCGCGGCTGTGGGCGCCGTGCACGACCACCCGCACTACGACCGCATTCGCAGGGTGTCTGACGTGCTGCTGCACTCGGTCATGCTGGACGGGTTCTACGATGCGTTGGAGGAAATTGGGCGGCGGCGGAAGCAGCAGCAGCGCGAAGAGGAGGAGGGACGTCAGGTGGCCAGCAGGCAACAGCAGCTGGAACACGCTGTTGGTGATGCTGTTGGTGATGGTGATGGTGATGGTGATGGTGGTGATGAACAGATTACGCTTCGAAATGGCGACGATGGTGATGAAGGCGTGGTACCTGTGAGCGTTACTGCTGCCACACCGCACCAGCAAGAGACGCGCGAAAGTGACAGTGAGAGTGATGCAGCAAGTGCACCTACAGCCGAGCACAACAATGCACCCGACACCAGTCCCAGCGCCACCATCACCGCGGATGATGTGCAGCTTCGCCCTCACAACCACAATCAGCAGCAGCAGCAGCAGCAGCAAGAAAGGCGACCGCGACTGCACACGCTGCACGCTGACCGCGCTGGCCAGCCGCTTGACCCGCACCGCTTGTCGCTCTCTTTCAACGTGGAGCCCACGCGCGCCGCCGTGCTGTCAGACACGCTGATGGGACTGCAGGGCCAGGTGCTGGCTGCTGACACAGTGGAGGAAGCAGCAGATACAGCGGTTGCTCTGCTGGACCTCTTGCACCGCAGTGTGAGTGCAGGTGCACAGCCAGGCAACACACGCCCCACTCGTGATGGTGGCAGCGATGGTGGTCGCAGTCGTGGTCGTGGGAGTTTGCTCTCTGCGCATGAGGCCGCGCGCCGCACCGCTGCTCAGCACTCAATGGCATCATCATCATCATCATCATCACCGTCGTCATCAACATCATCGTCATCGGCATTGGACGGAGCGAGTGATGGAGGTAAAGGCGGACATGGAGTGACAGACACGCATGCGTCCAACGACACAATGACGCCTGGCAATGATGCCGATACACAGCAGCAGCATTCGCAGCATTCGCAGCAGTCGTTGTCATCGTCTTCGGCAGGTGGGCGGTTGGCAACTGTACAGGAGGTGGAGGATGGGCGCGCTGAGGATACGATGGATGATGCTGTCTCCGTTGCTGTGGATGGCGGTGGTGAGACAACACAGCAGCAGCAGCAGGACGAGGACGAGGAAAGAGAGGGACACGAGGAAGGGATGAAGGGCGAAGAAGACAGCAAGGAGGAGGAAGAGGCAAAGGAAGATGTAGGGGCAGTGACCAGCACCACCCATGGTGGTGATGGAGACGAGAACAATGAGAATGAGGAGGATGAGGCACGCGAGATGGCGGAGCTAGAGGCTCTGCTGGAGGAGGAAGGGATGTTGGACGCCGCAGACCAGCGACCCCAGGCCAACAACGGCGGCGGCGGCGGTGGTGGTGGTCATGGCGATGGTGACGATGATGATGATGAGATGGCTGAACTGGCTGAGCTGCTGCAGGAGGAAGGGTGTTGATGGCGAGTACTCCTGACCAGAGAGAACGAAGCTGTGTGTGTGTGTGTATGTGTGTGTGTGTGTGTGTGCGTGTGTGAGTGTTTGTGTGTGTGTGTGTGTATGTGTGCGTGCGTGCGTGCGTGTGCGTGCGTGTGTGAGGGGGGAGAGGAGAAACAGGCAGGCATGTAATGATTGCGTTTGGTGTGGCCGTTGTGTTGTGCTGTGCGTGCGGTTTTGTTGTTGCTGCCGGTAGAAACTGCATGCACGTGTATGCTCTAGTCAATCTTCAGTGCTTGGGACATTTCAGCTGTCAATACGTTTCGTTTAGTGACTCATTGAACGCACTCAATGTGACAGTTTGCGTCCACATCGATCGCGACCAGCGCGCTATGCGAACATTGAGAGAGCGAAGGAACAGAGAGAGATAGGGAGAGAGATAGGGAGAGGGAGAGAGAGAGAGAGAGAGAGAGAGAGAGACAGAGAGAGAGACAGAGACAGAGAGACAGAGACAGAGAGAGAGACAGAGAGAGACAAAGAGAGACAAAGAGACAGAGAGGGAGAGAGAGAAAGAGAGGGCAGACACATACACACACACACACACACACACACACACAGCGATGAGCAAGGGCATCTGCGGTCCGTGTCATGCGAGGGCAATTTGATGCCAGCCAAGGGCAAACGCGGTGCCGAGTGCAGCCCCTGCAACAACCTGCGGCGGGGTGTGATCGCCCGTGAGCGATACGCGTGTGTATGCGACGCTCGCTGCCCAGACGTATCCCAAAGCAGGAACGGCATCACGCAGTAATCGAGACGGCGGGTTGCTGTAACGACAGCACAAAGCAGTGCAAGAGCGCGAGAGTCAGTGCGAGAGTGAGTGAGTGAGTAGGTGAGTGAGTGGAGCGGGGACGCAGTGTGTTCAAGTGGATACAGACAATGCACGCAGGAACGTCGGCCCGCTGTTCGCAACCTCTTCTAGTCTTGTGAGCGAAAGCGTGTGGCTTACTTGAAGGCGTTGTACAGTGTGAGGTGCGTAGAGACGGCAAAGTAGAAGAGACTGTTGGCGTGCGTGGAGGGCATGCCCCGCGTTTGCTTCTTGGACGTTGCTGGTCGTCCTTCATCCACAACACGCTTGACAAGCTGTGGTGAAGTTGTGCAAAAAAGGAAGTTGTTGTTGAGTTGGAGGCCTGAGCACATACGCGCACACACGCACACACGCACACACGCACACACGCACACGCACGTACGCACGTACACTGCAGCACGTATGCGCACACATGTACACCCACATCGCGGCGCTCAAACAAACACAGCATACAGCACACACATACACACACACACACGCACACACACACACACAACCTTGCCGACGGCGACATCAAGGAGAGAGCCAGCAACAAAGAGGAGGGAATAGCGTGTACGGTCCAGCGCCATGTATGCGAGGCAGGATCCCACAAGCAATCGCGGTGTCCACGTGTTGAGGGCGAGCAGACACTGCTTCACCAGCGCAGCGCGACCACAGCACCCACAACAACCGTTCATCATCATTGTTGCTCTGCCGAAATTTATTGCATGTTATTGAGATTTTTCAGTAACGACGCCAAACCAAACAGCAGCAGCTTGTTGTGCTATTTCCAGCCAACACACACACATCACTCGCTTGTTCGGAGTTGTTGATGATGGAGAGGCCAGAGGATGCTGATGAGCAGAAGAAGAAGCAAGTGCGGCTTGCTGGCTTAGTGGACCGGCTCTGCAGCTTCACCTCTTTTGAGGAAGGCGACGATGACACGGAAGACACGACCGCGACACCTGCAACTCTGGCGGCTCAGATCGAAGGTGTGCATGTGTTGCAGTTGTTGTTGTTTGTGTGTGTGTGTGTAAGTGTGTGTAAGTGTTGTGTGCGTCTGCACTGTGTTTTGTGCGTGTGCACTTGCGTGTGTGTGTGTGTGTTTGCACATGCACTTCTGTCTTTCCTTTCGATTCCTGGTTCTCACACAGTTTCTGGCGTGCGACAGATGTGCTACAAGAGTACCAGGAGCAACCACAGCTGCTGGATGCCAACTTGGGTCAGAAGCAAACGCATGCACAGTGTGTGGTGGACACGTTGTAGTCGTATGTGGCAGCATTTGAATGTGAGTGGCAGCGGTTTGCTTCCAAGTTGCAAGTGCGGCTTCTTTCTCACGACTCTTGTGCACCCGTGTTATGCATGACGTTTGTGTGTTCATTTTCTCTTGCAGAGCCAATGGTATCGTCGTTGTTGGGCATGATCAAGGATGGCAAGTGCGTCAACAGTGACCACGAAGACGCCATCTTTCGCATCCTCTACTTCTTCACAAAGGTGCGGTGTGATGTGTGAAGCGAACTTGAAGAGAGCGCGAGAGTGTGTGCAAAGACGGTGACGTGTGGATGTGCTTGGGCGATTCCGTGAGCGTCTGATAGCGTTGCTTTGTTGTTCAGCTGTGATCGGGACGGTTTTCAGTTGAGTGTTCACACACACTCACGTACACGCACACACACTCACGTACACGCACACACTCACACACTCACTCACACACACTCACACACACACACACTCACACGCGCACACACTCACACACTCACTCACACACACTCACACACACACACTCACTCACTCACTCACACACACACACACTCACTCACTCACTCACACACACACACACTCACTCACTCACTCACTCGCGTACACGCACACACGCACACACGTACGCACTACACACGCTGATTTGTCCCTCCCCTCTCCGCTCACCATCTCCTCCTCTCTTGTGCTCGCTCGGCTGCTCGCTGCATCTGTCCTCAAAAGGTTCGCGGGTACAAGACCATCATGCGATGCTTCTCGCACGAGGCAACGGATCTCATCTTGGTGCTGGAGCGCATCGAGGCCGAGGAAACGACGGACCACGCGCGCTGGCAGCACCGCTATATCCTCCTCCTGTGGCTGGCGCTCATCAGCCTGCTGCCGTTTGATATCGCTGTCTTTGACGAGAAAAAGGGCGGGAAAACGCTTCCGCAGCGCGTCCTCCATATCTGCACCGTGCGTCCTTTTGGAGAGAGGGGTTAGGGATGGAGGCAGCGTGTTGTGTGTTGCTGTTGAATGTGTTGTATTGTGTGTGTGTGTGTGTGTGTGTGTGTGTGTGTGTGTGTGTGAGTGCGTGTGTGTGTGTGTGTGTGCGTGAGTGAGTGCGTGCGTGTGTGCATTTGTGTGTTTTTGGTGGTCATGGTTATTGTTACCATCGTATCTCCCTCCCATGGGCTCATCGTTCATCATCATCTCAATCGCTGCTGCTGCCGCCATATTGCTGGACACCAGACGTATCTCGGCTCACCGGACAAGGGCCGCGACGGTGCAGCCCAGGCGGCGGGAAGGTGCGAGCACGCTGGCAATTATCCGCATGTGATCATGTTCTCTCACTGTCTCACTAATCCACACACACACACACACACACACACGCGCGCGCGCGCGCGCAACTCACTGTCGTACACTACGGCCTTCCTTTTGCCTCTGCGCCCCTCTTAAGGTTTTTCTCGCGCCCGGATATGGTGCACACGGAGCTTGAAGGATTCATCGAGTGGTGTGAACACACGCTCGCATCCACAGACGGTGCGGAGTCGTGACACTGTCACTGCTACATATGGTTGTGGCGGTTTGCCTGCAAAGCATGTTCCCGCCATGCCATGGCACACTGAACACCACTCAACATTCATCGTATTACCATTCGCCACCACCACCACCACCACCACCCATCGCCCGCCAGACCTTGATCGGGATCCGGCTGTTGTCGGCGTGATGACCGCTTTGCCTGCACTGTTCAAGTTTGCACAGCGCGAAGCCATCCTCCCATACGGTACACGCACAATTACACACACACATACATGTACACATGCACACCACACATATGCATACATAGACACACACACACACCATACATATGCATACATCACCACACACACACAAATACATGCACAGATACTTATGCATACACAAACACACACGCACACTCATGCACGCTCATCACTGACAACACACGCGCGGGAATTTTTGTTTTTGTTCAGCGGACCGAATTCTTGCTGTCGTGCACCGCCATCACCTGATGACCAACGCCAACACGCTCGTCAGAAAACTCTCCACCAAACTCGTGCAGGTATTCTTTGCCCGCAGGCACACATGCACGAAGATGCTTGCAGTGGCTGCTGCGTGTGTGTGCGTGTGTGTGTGTGTGTGCGTGTTTGTGCTGCACTCGCCTCTTGTCATTGTCCCCACCACCACCACCATCACCATCACCATCACCATCACCATCACCATCACCGCCCATTCATGACATCCACCCCACCTTCCCGCCGTCTCCCTTCACACCTCACTCCCCCCCCCCTTCATTGCCGGCCGTGGTTCAGCGTGTTGGGATGTCCCACCTCCCACCGCGCGTTGCGTCATGGCGCTACCAGCGTGGCATGCGCTCGCTCATGTCAAACCTGCAGCAGCAGCAGCAGCAGCAGCAACAGCAAGCGAGCAGCCTGGCTGGCGACGACAACAACGACGACGACGACGATGTTGGACACGATGAT